AAAAAAAGGCATAAAATGAGCTTTTCAAGTAATTAGCAGAATGCCCAGTAACCTTAACCAACTCCAGGACTGTCACTGTTTGGATAAAATAAATGGCAATTTATTAGAAGACCTGACTTGTTTTGAAAGAGATAAACATGTCTTAAGATCAAGAGTAATCTCTTTTGATAATTTGCCTTTTAGCTTCATTTCATCTCCAGTTACCTATGTGCATTCCAAGATGGCTTTCAAAATCTGAGCAATGAAGAGAAGTCCAAACTGGAAGAAGAAGTGATGATAGAAGTTAACAGGTAATTTACCTTCCAGTGCTTTTGATGCCAGTGTGAACCACCAATATTCCTGAAACTTCTATTGTGATACCCCTAATACATTTCTGTGATGAAGTCTGCTAATTCAAAGTTCTGGATGTGTTGTAGAGAGTACTAATGGAGGAAACAATCCTGTAATATGGGGAACCTAATGTAATTACTATATGGAATTGCTTCCATAACGTCATACACTGCTTTGTAATTTTCAGGTTTGCCCTTGCATCACACTTCTTCTGGGGTCTGTGGTCTATTATACAAGCAAAGATTTCGTCCATTGAGTTTGGTTACCTGGTATGTTTTTAAACATATAGTTTCACTTAAATGCATACTTGCACATGACTCATAGTGCTTTATCAGGGAAAAGAAAGCGAAATAGCTGCCTAAAGGTTTGGGGTATTCTCCCCTTTTGTTATATAGCAAGAACAGCTTTGTGTCAGACCTCACAGTGGAATGACTGCCTTGCAAGCTGTGAAGTGATTCTCTTTCAGTAAGACACTGCAAAAGGGAAGTTAGCACTTGCAGTAAGTGCAAAATTGGAAAATCAGTAGTCAAAGTGCACATATTTCATGTTGACATCCATTGTTCAGCAAGACATCTATACTGGGCAACTTGCTGACCTTTTCAAATAGCTCAGCTTAACTTTTGATACTGCAAACGTTTTAAGACTTTTACTGAGACAGCATACTGCTAAGTAATGTAACTTTTGGACACACTGGATATCCTACAGGAAATGTAGAAGCCACTTTTTTCTGCTGAAAGTCTGACCTTTTAGTTAAGATTCTTCAGGTGTTCTGGCAGAAGCTCTAGTGTTGTAAAACAGTTCAGGAAACTGTAGAGGCAAAATCTCTCTGGGGAGATTACCTTTCCCAAATGAAGAGCTAATTTAACTTGCCAAGAAGATGGATTAGGAGAGTAGCACAGTTAATACTTTTATTATGCTTTCCCATCATGAAAGTGAAAACTGAGGTATATTTACAGTTACAGATGTAGTTAACTACTTCATAACATTCCTTTTTTCTCTAGGAATATGCATTGTCCAGATTTGATGCATACTTTGATCAGAAGAGGAAGCTGAAGGTGTGAATGTTGGAG